AGTGAAGTGGAGTATAATAGTCGCGTGAGTTGACCTTTTTTTTTTTTTCTCATTATATACATGGGTAGACTGCTATATATAAATATTTACTGGAATGGGCTGCTCTGACCTGATACCACTGTCGCATCTTCAAAGTCTAAGGGCCACAGGCTAATTTCAGCGAACTTTCGTGCTTGTTGCATGAGTTCTTCACTTAAAAAGACGCGTTCTGATGCTGGCGGCGAAATATCAGTAGCGGAAAACCGCTCCTCGGAGTCCAGTGGTGGAGAGGATACCGTGTGGCTCGATTGGTTCTCCTTATCCGCAAGTGCTTCACGGCTGCCGAGCGAGAAACAAGTGATCTCGTCGCCCTTTTTGGAGTGGGCTAAATGTGTATTCTTGGAAGGTCGAATATTAGCTGATTTTATCGCTGGTGTCTGTCGTCGGCCCTGGATACTCCTGTCTGTGCTGGCTTGTTTCTTGTTTCCTGTACCTTTCCTAGCTTCTGGCATTCCTGTTTTATCCTTTCGCCTTTTAACCCTTGACACCGGGTAGCTCAGTTCATCCCGATCCGCCTCAAATGCGCCGGAATAGTCATTGAAACAGTTTTCATTTTCGATGTCATCTGAGGTGAGTGTGCGGTTTGATGCACGCTGTTTTTGCAGAAATCGCCGTTGAGGCAGCAAATTTTCTCTCAGAGAGGCAGTAGAAATCCGGGGTTTGCAAATCATGGGAAGTTGCCTTTCTGTCGCTTTTTGGGTGCCAGGGGAGGAGCTTCCATTTGCTGGGTGTTCAGAATATGCGGTATCAGATCGATTTTTCTCGACACTAGAGACCGGACTGCTCTCTGGTGGCATCATTGTCTGACTTAAAAGTTCGGGAAGCTCTGGCGACTGCACCCTTCTTGGGGTAGGCAGTAGGTCATCTTCAGACGCACTGTTGTCGGTATTTTCATCGGGAGCAATTGCACGCTCGGATGGATCGGGAGATCGAGAAACCTGCACCTGGACCTTGGGGTGTAACTTTATGTTTCTCAAGCTCGTAGGAGATAAATTCCGCGGTGTAGAAGGCGGTGAAGATACAGCGTCATGGGGTATACTTTTGCGGTTGGGAAATTTTAGCGGAGTTGATTCATCATCAGGGTTGAAACTGGCAAGCAAATCATCATCATCATCATCATCATCATCATCATCATCATCAAGCTCGGACGACCGATCAGTGTGCATCATTTGAAGGATGCTGGGCTGCCTGGGCCGTCGTCTAAAATTGCTAAGCATCGAGCTTTCAAAAGCCGGAGTTCCGAATTTTTGTACTCTAGAACTTGTGTCCCCTCTACCGGGAAGGAAGGGTTTTCCTGCGGCGGAAGAGATACAGTCAAACAGAGGCGGCAAGTCGGTGGTGCCATTTTGAAGTTTAGAGACGGGCGTTTGCACTTGGTAGCTTGCTGCTCCCAGATCACCTTCTTCATCGACCACCGGTTCAGCTCTCTGGATGTAAGCTGTTCCACGTGAATTCTCCCTAGAGCCTTCCCGAGATATTTTTTTAGGATTACCTTCTTGTCCCTTAGGAGCTTGTGTGTGATTCAACTTTGGTATAACTACCGCAAAATTACCCTCGTCGGATTGTTTGAAGTCGCGTGCCGCAACGGCTTCTGCAGGGTCAGTACCGTTTCGACGACGATCCCGTCTAGCTGGCGGTCGAGGCATGTTATTCTGTGTTTGTTTCAAGGACCGACGCGTAAATGAATTCAAGTGTCTGATCAAGTTCAGGATCCCGCTTTCCGGAGCGTCTCAGGCGGCAGCAATGGCGTGAATATTATCGAGAATAAACCGAAGTTGCGGGGAACAAAAATCGTGGGCCGCGAACCGGTTTGTTTGTTGTGGTTTGTTTACCCAAAATTATCTCAGCATGCTCAGCCTTTCTTCGCAATATTTTCAGATTAGCATGATCAACTAAACTTCTTTAGACTTCTGCCAAGTCCTGCTAACTTCTTGAACCAATCAATTACTCCACACATGCTCATAATATAATATCTTATAGGCGCGCCTACTCGCCCCTAAAAACCCAGCAACCCGTTTAATCGGGCAAGCCCCACCACTTTTTCAACCCGACCCGCGAAAAAAACACCACTACTAACTATTTTTCACATATTTTCGAACTCTGTAACTGGTTCAAAATCATTATATATCCTCTGCAGCCTCTCCACACATGTTTTATTGCACAGTTGAGTGCTCTCAATATTCTTCTATCTGATCAAAAATATCAATATAATTTTTAATCAAATCACTGAAGCTGAAATCTGTGATAAATTTTGTCACTGAAATGACTGATAAGAGATAGAGACCGACTGTTATAAACTTATAATATCTTCTTCTATTCTCAAAGAAGTCAGTGTTAATAATCTCACTATTATCCCATTATTGTATAAGATATAATAGCTTAACCGTGCCATGCTTACTCACTCTCTCTAGTGAGTGCGCCACAGCGTACGGAAAACCACAGCGTACGGAAAATATTATCAATATCTTCATTCTTCATCTTCAAATAATCATCATTAATTATAACCATGCCTAAATCTTCTAATTACACTGAGGAGCAGTTGCAAAGAGCTGTTGACGCGTACAAAAGCAATTCAAAATTAAAAATCACATCTCTGTCGCGAGAATTCAAAGTCCCATATGCCACCTTGTATGGGAGGATCAACGGGAAGAAATCAAGGACTATGAGGGTTCCACTGAATAGAGCATTGAATGACAGCCAGGAGGAGGCAATTAAGATATGGATTCATCAGTTGGATATTAATTTTTGCCCGCCCACCATGGAGCATATCGAAGCCGCCGCGAACCGCATGTTGAGACAGCATCATACAG